AATCACACTTGGAAAGGAATCTTTTCTCTGAGCAGCAGTTTGCAACTGTAGGCTTAAAATATTCAGTCAAACATGTGGTAAGCAGATGTTCTGTCCCTCAGATTTTGTTGTTCCATGCAGAGAGGACAAGAAGAATAGGTTTAGTATAATTCTTAAGGGCCTGGGCTGGGGATTTAGCTCAGCGGTTCGGTGGCCAGTCTTGCAAGCTCAAGAACCAGAGTTCAATCCCCAGTACCAAAAAAAAAAAAAAAAAAAAAAAATAATAATAATTCTTAAGGGCCCAGCACCATGGAAGTGGTGACTGAGCATTGACTTCAATTTAGTCACTAACTGATTAGCCCCTCATATGATAGGTAGGTACTCAGCCTGTGTGTGTGTGTGTGTGTGTGTGTGTGTGTGTGTGTGTGTGTGTGTGAGACAGGATCTCACTGTGTAGTTCAGCCTGGCCTTAAATTCACTATGCAGCCCAGGCTGGCCTTGAACTCATGGCAGCCCTCCTCCCTCAGCCTCCCAAGTGCTGGGATAAAAGGCATGCACCACCACGCCCGGCCCTCAGCCTGACCTTGAAGCATTTTTTTCCTTTATGATACTGTGGCACTGTACCACCGAGTTACACCATCGGCCTTTTTTTTCTTTTGAGACAAGATCTCACAAGTTGCCCAGGTTAGTCTCAAACTTAAGAACTTCCTGCTTCAGTCTCCTTTATGTTTTTTTCTTTTTATTATTATAATGTCTCTCAGTTTAAATCAAAATCTAGAAAATGGGTTAAGTTTAAGTCAGAGTCATGAAGCTCTTCTTTTACATGAATAACGAGAGGCCTGGCAGAATTATGAATTTTCTTAGTTACAGTTTTGTTTCGTACCAGGAAATAGGGAGGCCTGAGAGGTGGATGCAGATGGGGAACACACAGGTTTATAAATCACTGCCTTACACTGGTTTGGTTCCTGGCTCCCTAAAACAAGTACAAGGGTAACATCAAGAATCATGATTAAGGGGGGCACAGAGGTAGGGGCTTAGAGCTGGGGGCTTAGCTCCTCGGTAGGGCAAGTGCTTGGCTTCTGTGGGGCCTTAGGTTCAAATAGTGTGAGAATTACCTAAAGGTGACACAGAGACATGGAGTGAGAACACACTTTTAGAAAAATTACACTGATCGAACTTCCTGGCACAGGGTTGCCACAAACCCTCAATAAGTGTGTGTGTGTGTGTGTGTGTGTGTGTGTGTGTGTGTGTGTATACATTTTTTTTTTTTTTTGGTACCGGGGATTGAACTCAGGTCCTTGTGCTTGCAAGGCAGGCGGTGGAACCACTGAGCTAAATCTCCAGCCCTCAATATATATATTTTAAAAACCCAGGTGTGGTGGCACTTGCCTCTAATCCCGTTACTCCAGGAGGCTGAGAAAGGAGGACTGCAAGCTCTAGCTCAGGCTGTGGGAGTTGGCAACTTGACAAGGCTCTGTCTCAAAATGAAAAATGAAAAATGAGATGGGGGTGTGAGTGAGTGAGAAGGCCCTTGGTTCAGTCCTCAGTACGGCAAAAGCAAACAAACAAGCAGCCTCCCCCTAAAGCATCACCTGTGAAGCACAGCAAAGGCGGTACAATAAAGTGAGGTCTGACTGCATTCCGAATGTGACACTGTGCACCTGCTGTTAATGGTGAGTCTTAGGGTGCAATGAGGATCCTTCCCCTTCAGTTTGAATAACTCCCCTTAGGGTTTCTTATAAGATAGATCTGGGGATGACGAACATCCTCAGCTGAGGTTTTTCTTAGAGAAGGGGAAACACCCTAACATATTTTAGGCTATTAGGAATCATCCTATAGAGAAAGAGATTGATACGCCAACGAGGGAGGGTCTAATTACAGAAAGGTGTCCTCATCACTCTCCCTATAGGTAAGGGTGAGAGGGTGGATCCAGTATGGCAACGACTGGACTGGGATTTGATGGTAGTAAGAACGGCAGCCCCCCGGGAACAAGTGAGAAGGTGGATAAAACCCAGCTCTAGTGGTTTAAGAGCTTTCATGAAGGAAAATGAAGATTTCGGTTGGATTCTTCTCTTTTCTCAGTGAAATATTCAGTGAGACGTACATCTTTTTAATTAAGCCATCTCTAGAATGAGGAGAGTGTCTGCCACAGAGCTATGGAGACCTTGGCTAGGTTCGCTGTACTGAAATCTCCAGCAGGCTCAACAGCACAGCAAGAACCAAACCCTGGAAGGGGCCAAGCAGTGTAAGAAGCTCCACAGGGATTTTGCAACTGTTGCCATTCTTTCTATGGCACATAAAGACTATATGCACTTATGCCGGGCATGGTGGCGCGTGCCTGTAATCCCAGCACTCGGGAGGCTGAGGCAGGAGGATCGCTGTGAGTTCAAGACCACCCTGGGCTACATAGTGACTTCTAAGTCAGTCTCAACTACACAGTGAGACCCTGTCTCAAAACAATGAAAAAAAAAATACGCATTTACAACCCAAGCACTAGCTGGGATAGTGAGGTCTGAGAGACATCCTTTCCAAGGCCAAAAACGAAGTCATGTATCCTGCTCTCGGGCCTTATCGCAGAAAGCACTGAAATTTAGATGCAGTTCCATCAGAAGCATAGAAATGTGTAATGTGTGAGTAGCTGCTTTGAGCTTTTCTTTATTCTCAAAGTCCTTGGACTTTGGCCAGATCTTGTAGTTTGTCTTAGTCCGCGTTCACTTTGGAATCTGTGTTATCATTTGAGTTGACATAATTCATTAGCTGCACTAATACTTTAAATCAGTCAGAGTTTTTATGGAATAGCAAAAAATAGTTTCCTCCCAAGAAAAATGCTCCCCAAAAGCTAGCTTTTTGTATTTTGAGAAAGCATGCTGCTATGTAGTCCATTCAGGCTGGTTTCAAACTTGCAGTCCTCTTGCCTCAGCCTCCTGAGCGCTGAGAATACAGGTGTGTACCACCACACCTGACTCTTAACATTTACATGATTAGATGTATGTTGTTTTTCCCCACACTGATCAGTTCTCTAACACGGGGTAAGTGTTCTATAATGTAACTTGATCATTCTTTTTTGGGGTGGATATGGGGATTGAACTCTGGTCCTTACGCTTGCGAAGCAGGCGGTGGAACCACTGAGCTAAATCCCCGGCCATCTATAATGTAATTTAATTTTGAAACTACCTACCTGAGATTAGAGTCAGATCCCATATGGCAAGGGTTTCCTCTCACAAGTCTGCTCCTCCTACCTTAGTTAGATGCTATCTTAGTTACTTTTCTTTCATTGCTGAGGCAAAATACTCAACACCCAAAGGTAAAGGGGGAAGGTTTTATTTAGCTCACAGCTTGCAGAGATATCTGTCCAAGTCTGCTGGCTCCAAGGCAGGGTGTCTTAGCAGAGGGCATCACAGAAGAGAAGTTTATGGTGTTAGGGACCTGACGCCCCATCACAGGCTGTATTCTCCTGGTTCTTCAGGCCTCTTAAAATGGCCTCACGCTCTTATCTTTAGTTTCCCTCCCCCAAGGCCACAGCGGTCTGGAGAAATTAAACCCGAATTTCTGCAGGGCTGAACCCATCAAAGACAACCTGGCCCGTGATAGGTTAAAAGTAGCCCACTCCTCATGAATAAGCAATAGCCCAGCCCCAGACCATAAAAGGAGCTTCCTTTCTTTGTTTCTCCTTCCTCTCTTCTTCTTCTTCCCTCCCTTCCCTCTCTCCCTGACCTGCCTTCCCCAATGAAGTCGCCTGTCGGACCTCTGCTGTGCGGTCTAGTTGTTGAGTGTCGCTGTGCCTCTACATATGGCAGGTAGAAGCCAGCAAAAGCGAGTGAGGGACCTTAACAGTGCCTTTCTGCCCCTTTCATCTTATCCAGACTACTTCGGTTGGGCAGCACTCACACCTTTCATCCTAGTGCCCTCGAGCCTAGCACTGCACCATGAATCAGTCCCAGCGTCACACACTCCAGATCCAGCCTCCTCTGGAAAAGCCCCACCTGTGACCCCAGGCGGCTGTGTGGGGACAAAGCATTAAGTGACAACAGTCCCAAATTTGGGCCTTTAGAACTTTCAACTACATGTCTAAATACTGGGGTTCTGAGGACCCCCTTCTTCATTTGGTAACTTGTTAGAACTCCTAATAGAACTCAGACAAATACTTATGTTTACTGATTTATTATAAAAGATATTACAAAAGTCCAGAAAACATCCAGATGAGGCAGTACAAAGTGCAGCGTATAGGGAAAGGAGCTTGGCGCTTCTGAGCCTTCGCAGGTGCAACTTCCTCCAGTGTTCAAGAGCCCAGAAGCACCCAACCCTGGCTTTTTGAGATTTTTATAGAATTTTAAGATTGTTTAAATCATTGGCCAATGGTGAGTGACTCAGTCTTCACCGCACCTCCCTCCTAACCACTCATCGTATGTTGGCATATATTTTTCCAGCATGTTTTTTGTAAGCAATTTTTACAATAAAAGGGGGGTCCCTCAAGTATAGTATTGGTTTAAGAATATATAAACATATGATGACAGCACTCAGGAGGCTGAGGCAGGAGGAGCCCCGTGAGTTCACGGCCAGCCTGGGCTACATTGAGTTCAAGGGCAGCCTAAACCATGTAGTGAGACCCTGTCTCAAACAGATAAACAAGAATATCATGACCATTCCTCTATTTTATCAAATAGTATTCTATGATATTCTTTTAAAATACTCAGGTAATCCAGGATTGCTATAATAAAATCAGAAAATTAATCCTAAGTGACCACTCATAGACTACTAGAGTTGTTTGAGGTACCAGGGATCGAACTTGTGTCCTTGTGCTTTCGAGGCAGGCAGCAGAACCACTGAGCTACATCCCTGGCCAAAAAACACATTATGTTAAGGGGTTGCTTCTTGTTGGGCTTTGGGAAAAGTGATTGGATAGTGACAACTCTCGGCAATTTTGTGACATACTGTCTCAAAAAAAAAAAAAATCTAAGAGACAAAATCTTATTACTCTTGTTGTTAGAGGGTTTTTAACTTTTTTTTCATTATTATTACAGATGCACTGTAAAATAACAAGAACCCAAACAAGAAAAAGGTAAAATGACAAGAACAAGGTGAAAAATGTGAAGCAGCACCGCTGCAAAAACTGAGGGTTCCTAATAGCGTACTATGTTGTAGCTTATAGGTTCTTACTGTAATAGCGGATTCTTTATGGTACTCAGGATTGAACCCAAGGTCTCATGCACCCTAGGCATGTGCTTGACCACTGAGTTACATCCCTCAATTCCCAACTTGAGATGGTGAATTCATTGTGGGATCAGCTGCTATGCTGGAGTGATTTTCTCTAGTGGTGCTGCACGGTTTAAATATGAAGTGTTCCCAAAGACCCGTGTATTAAAGCCTCAATCCCCAGTGTAGCAGCTTTCAGAAATGACCTGATGATGAGGACACTGACCTCATCAATGGATTAATCCATTAATGAATTCATAGCTCACTAGCCCTTTAGGAGGTGGGGCCTAGTTGGAGGAATTAGGTCCTAGGGAACACGGCCTTAGGGTATATTAGTATCCCAGCTCCTTCCTCTTTCTCTTGCTCTCTTGGCTTCCTGGCTGCCCTGAGGTGAGCAACTGCTTTATTACACCCTCTCCTCTATGAGGCTCTGAAGCCATCAGCTAAAATAAAACTTTCTTGGCCGGGGAATCTAGCTCAGTGACACCTCACCTGCCTTACAAGTGCAAAGTCCTGGGTTCGATCCCCGGTACTGAAGAGGAAAATAAATAAATAAATAAACCTTTCTTCCTTTAAGTTGTTTTCCTCAGGTTATTTTGTCACAGTAATGAAAAGCTGACCAATATACGTGTCACTATTATCAATGTTTAAGAAGAACCTTGATGACTGTCAGAATATTACACAAGAAGTTTATTATGTAGAATTGTGTCTACGGTTCTGTCTTAGCCTGTCCTGCTATAATTAAATTCCTAAGACTGAGTCATTTATAAATAATGGAAAAATTTTTTTCTCATACTTCTGGAGGTGGAAGGTCCAGGATTAAGGAATGGGCAGGCTCAGTGTCTGGGGAGGACATCCTCCCGGATTCCAAGATGGAGTCTTATTGTGGCATCCTCCAGAGTGGATGAATGTGTTGTCCTCACATTCCAGAATAGACAGAAAAAGAAAAAAGGGGCAAAATGGGACCAGTTAGCCTCCCCTAAGCCCTTTATAAGGATACTAATCTGAGGGACCTCAAAGGGATCTTAATCTCTATTATATTCCAGTGAGGTTTAAATTTCAACATGAGAATTTCAGAGTGACATACATTCAAACCATGGCTCCTTCTGCCTTCCTCCATTTGTTCATTCATTTAGACAAAATCACTCAAAGGTCTCCTATATTCCATTTGCTTAGCTAGGCAATGGGATTGTAAAAGTTGAATAAAACAGTTCTTCAAAGGTAGACACATAGGGCCAGGGATTTAGCTCAGTGGTGCCGCCACCTGCCTTACAAGCACAAGGTCCTGAGTTCAATCCCCAGTACAAAAAAAATAAAAAAAATAATAAATTAAAAATTTCAAAAGGTAAACACATAAATGACAACTTCAATAAAACGCCGTAAGTATAGAACTGTATATAGGACATTATGGCAACACTGAAGAACACAGTCATGGTGTTGGTAGGAGAGACAAGGAAACTTCCCAAAGAGGGTGAGGATGAGCAGATGGAATCTTAAAGGATAAGCAGCAGTTAGCAACACTTGGTGTTGATGCAGGGCTAAGACTAGATACAACAGCTTGAATGGGGATGGAAATAAGACATACATTATATATGCAAAGTTAGAATTTTTTGAGACAGGGTCTCCGTATGTAGTCCAGGCTAGCCTTGAGCTCTGTGTAGGCCAGCCTGGCCTGAAACTTGAGCTCCTCCTGCCTCAGCCTCCTGAGTGCTGGACTTACAGGTGTGTGCTACCATACCTGGCAAAGTGAGAATGTTTTTTCCACCTAAAATTGTTTATTAGCTAGGATGTAGGTAGCTCAGTGGCACCTTGCCAGCCTGACAAGTGCACAGTCCTGAGCTTGATCCCTGGTACTGAAAGAAAAAAAAAAGTTTATTCGGCTGTGACAATAATAAAAATCAGAAATGAGAATTTGTTTTGTTTTGACTTCTGAGACAAGGTCTCGCTCTGTAATTCAGGCTGGCCTTGAACTCACTATACAACCCCGGCTAGCCTGCCTCCCAGGTGCTAAATTACAGAAGAAATGAGCATTTTCGACTCAGTTATTTTGCCATAACAGGACTTTAATATCTTCCTAGTGTTTTGTTTTGCCACCTCACTAAAAATAGTCCTGATCCAGGACATCACTGAGTCATCATCATCACACGGGTTATCAAAGGGGGCCTCAGGGATATTGTGGAGGGATTTGTCATACATATTAATTATTTTAAAATATTTTTTTCAATGTCCTCTTCCTCAAGTTGCTGTCGCCAAACTATGAAGTGAAAGGGAACAGATGTGGGAGATGACGTGGGAAGGCTGGATAGCAGTGCACCGTTTTCAAAAGCTTGGACTTAACCTTGTGGGTGACAGGGAAGACCAAAGGGCTTTTAAGCAGAGAGGTGATGTGGCATTTCTGCGGCAGTGTGAAAGACATCTGTGGAGGTCAAGCCCATGGAGAAGCTGGTTAGGGGGCTTGTGGCAGTGCTAGGGAGAAGAGGACTGACTCAGGAGGAGAAAACTATACCAGCATGACCAAACTTTTAGAACCTTTGGTGATAGCAGGTGGCTCTGGCATGTGTGCCATAGGTTTGCTGCCACTGGTCTATACGATGCCGTTGTGGTTGTTTGGCTACAGAAAATTAGGGCAAGAGCTGGGCGTGGTGGCACACACCTGTAATCCCAGCACTTGGGAGGCTGAGGCAGGAGGATCGCTGTGAGTTCGAGACCAGCCTGGGCTACATAGTGAGTTCCAGGTCAGTCTCAACTACATAGTGAGACCCTGTCTCAAAACACAAAGAAAGAAAGAAAGAAACAAACAAAGGAAAATAAGGGCAAGGAGCACAGAAATTCAGCTTATGTGACTGACTGGTAACATAAAACTCAAGGCAGAGGAGGGAGCAAACATTACAAGAAGAATTCAGATTTTGGGTGTGCTGTTTGGTTCTTGTACATCTTTGTAGTTTTTCCTCCCCATTGTTTATTGGTACCTTTAAAGCAAACAATACAGTTACATTTATCATTGGGATCTTGTACCTTCACATGATAGGTCTTGGTTCTTATTTTTTCCCCATACCCCTGCCCTCCCTTCCCATCTTTTTTATTTTTTTTTTTTTTTTTTTTCCTTCAGTACTGGTGATCAAACGCAGGACCTTGAACCTTTTTTTTTGGTACTGGAGATTGAACTCAGGTCCTTGAACTTGTGAGACAGGTGACCGAACCACTGAGTTAAATCCCTGGCCCTAGGATCTTGTACTTTTAATTTAGGCAGGTGCCGCTGAGATAAATCCCTGGTCCTGTAGTTCTCTTTTTACATACAAGAATCTTGAGATGTGGGACAGGGGTTTAACTCAGTGGTTCTACTGCCTGCTTTGCAAGCTCAAGGTCCTGAGTTCAAACCCTGGTACCAAAAAAAAAAAAAAAAAAAAAAAAAATAAACTATTAATTAAGACCTTTCTTCTCATACCCTTCTACAGCATTGCTTTTCAAGGTGAAGTTCGGGAACACATAATTATAGAGAGGTAAAACAAATTAAACTATACCTTGGGAGCTTCGTTTGGGGAAAATAGTATAAACAAGAGAACTTTACAATGGAAAGGGAAAATGGACAGGAATGCACAAAGAGAATGTATTAATTCTGGACAGAACTTAGGAAAAGTTGCCAGGGATTTAGCTCAGTGGTTCCGCTGCCTGCCTTGCAAACACAAGGACCTGAGTTTGATACCCGGTACCAAAAACAAAACAAAACAAACAAACAAACAAACAAAAAGAACTTAGGAAAAGTTTCTGATAAGGAAAATAAACCAAAGATTCCAATGATAAGTAGAATAAAGAAAATCACATAACAAAAATTTCACTAAAATTAAGCAGGAAAGAAAAAAAGCAGGCAAAGAAGAAGAAAACATAAAAGAAGCAGAAGAGGGCTCCCACTTAAGTACATGGCATCTGAATTTTTAAAAGAGGCCACACACCAGGTTAGCCACCTCCAAATAGGGTTACCTGTGGCCCGAGGCCAGAGCAAACTGTACAAGCAGGTCCTTTTCTCTAAATTATTACAAAGGGGGAAGCAGGTTAAAACAAACACCAAAAGTAGTCCTTTTTCTCCTCCCTCTCTTCCTCTTGTTTTTTGAGCAAGGTGGGACGGACACGTGGTGGTGGTGGTGTAGCTCAGCGGAGCAGCACCTGCCTGGCAGGCGTGAGTTCCCAGTACCCACCCCATCCCACAGGAGGCTGGTGAGGCTAGGGCAGGGGATAAGCCGGCTGAGCTGAGGGAGAGGGGCTTAGTAAAGGGACAGAACTGACTTCGTTTTTTGGTTTTTTCTCCCGGTACTGGGGATCGGCGCCACTGAGCTAAATCCCCCCGGCCCTGTGTACTGAGTTTTCACTAGCAACGGAAGGCTTTTTAACCGTACACCTGTTACATGAACACTAGTATGGAGAAAATAATGTCAACTAAAAACGCTTTGTCTTCCCTCCTGCACTGCAGCCCAGCTCTGGGCATCTCCAGACACCCTGCCCCCTGGAGATGGACCTCCGCTCTTCGTGTTCACAGATTCCTTCATAGTCACAGGAAACACAGGGACTACACCACTGCCACTGTCCTGCTCAGCCCTTTAATCAAATGCCTAATGTGAGGCAGCAGCAGCTGGACCTGCAACTGCAGCAACAACAAAAAACAGAATCCAAAAGCCGGAAGTGGGTGTCTTCACTTCTTACTTATATTAAAAGCATCTCGGCCTAGGTGGCGGGTGGAGAGAGGCTGCCCAGCATTCATCATGCCAACCAGGCGAGGTCAGCTCTGATTACAGCTGGGCAGCTGAGTTCACTGATTTCTGTGGCCTGTGGCCAGGATTGCGTAACAGACACAGAGGCCAAAGGAGCTACGGAGGACCAGAAGGGGCCCCGCAATTCCCTCCTCCCGGCGAGGGCCGGGTTCCTCGGCAGACCCACTGCAGGGGAGGGCTTGGGGGAGCCCCATGGAGTGGCGGGGAAAATTCCCTGCCCACCCAGGACGCTGCCAAAGGCCATGGCTTTGAAAGGCGGCAATTGGTGAGATGTCGATCTGGGCAGCCAAGAGGCCACGAGATGGCAGCATAGGACACAGCCTTGGACACAAAACCTGAGCCATCTTGCAAAAAAGCAGGTCAAGAAATGGAAGAGAATTCATTTGGAAAACATCGTCAGTTGTCTATAATCACCTATCCAAAGCCAGAATAAATGAATCTCAAAGAATTGAAGGTAAAATTCAGCAATATGGAGTCTTTTCCAATCACCACAGAGTTCAGCTGCCCACGAAGGAAGCCAAATAGCACGGTTAGGTCTCCAGTGCTTAAAAGCGAGATAGGAGTCGTGGCCTTTAAAAACTGACGTAAGCAGGAGCCTTGTCACAGTCCCCTCTTTCTGTGCAGCTTTAATTCTAGTGAAATGAGTGACCTCCACAGAGGCTGCCAAGCTGATGAAGAATGGAGCAGAAACGGTTGCTGGGGTGCCTCGCAGCCAAGCCAAATGCTCGCTGTCAGGGAGCAGTCGGGGATCTGGCAGGAATCAGCACGGAGGGGAGACACTGAGCAACACAGGGCAAATCTCTCTCCCCTCTTGCAGCTGCTAGAGGGTTATGTGCAGGAAAGGAGCACTATTGGCATCGAGAGTAGATCCCAAATCTTCTTAGTGCTCATCTAATTCTTCCATTACATATTCCCTTGCCCTCCCCTCTCGAGTTGTGATTAGCAAAATGTCTCTGACATTGCAAAATATCCTCTAGAGGGCAAAATGACCCTTCCCTGAAAACCAAGAACTTCATGTTCAATCCCTCCAAGACTCTGGGATTTCACAAAGTCTACATGAACTGTATGGTACATCCAAAACCCGAAATCCTCCCATGTGGGTTAATTTTTTATTATTATTTGTAGTACTGGAGATAGAAGCAAGAGCCTTGTGCATGGGAAGGAAGCACTCTATCACTGAGCTACATCCTTAGCCCTTTTTAATTTTTTATCTTGAGACCAGATCTTACTACATTACCTAGGCTGACCGTGAACTTGCAATCCTCCCGTCTCAGCCTTCTTAAAAGCTGGGATTTCAGACATGCAACAACACACCTGTTTTTGTTCTTTTTGGTACCAGATATGAGGGATTGAACTCAGAACCTTGCACTTGCAAGGCAGGCATGGTGTCGCTGAGCTAAATCCCCGGCCCTGTTTTTGTTCCTCTGTTGTTGTGGTTTAAGATGGAGTCTGGCCATATTGCCCGGGATGGTCTTGAATTTTCTATCTTCTCATCAAGCAATGCTTCCTGAGTAGCTGGGATGACAGGTACAAGCTACGATGCCCAGCTGCACATCTGTGTAACGTATAGACGGGCAACCCGAGTATAGGCTGAATCTGGCTGTTGAGTTTAAAAAAACTTTGTTATAGCTGGGTGCGACGGTGCTATAATCCCAGCACTTGAGAAACTGAGAAGGCAGGCCCTAAGGCAGCCTGAGCTACATGGTGAGACCCTATCTCAAAAGCAAAAATAAAAAAGTCTCCCAAACCCCAAATTTGTTAAAATTTTAAAATTAGATTTCCTATTTTAAAAGTCAGAATTTACTTCTTCAGAAATTTAAAGCTGTGGCACTAGCAGGTTCACAGTCCCACGCTGCAACAATTGGTGGAGCTGAATGACGATGTCATTTAAATAGAACAGTCCTCTCTACTTCACCACACATCTCACCTGTCCCTGTCACCTTATACACAATCTGCTTCGCTTGACTCAAACCATTCCTTCGATAAAAAATTTATTTTCAACATCTGCATGCCTTATAGTTTTAAAGCACTTTTCCTCACCAGGGATTTAGCTCAGTGGTTCCACCACCTGCATCACAAGTGCAAGGTCGCTAGTTTGATAGCCAGTAACAAAAAAAAAAGTACTTTTCCTCATGTGATTTTACTTTAGCCTTGATATTCCAGTAAAAGGAAAAATATACGAGTATAATCTTCAAGTGAGCAAAAGGTAGTTTAGAGAGATTTGAGTTGCCCAAGTAACAGAATCAGAATCTATCTATATATTTTATTGGTTTTTTTGAGACAGGTTCTCACTATGTAGTTGAGACTGACCTGGAACTCACCATATAGCCCAGGCTGGCCTCGAACTCTCAGCGATTCTCCTGCCTCAGCCTCCTGAGTGCTGGGATTGCAGGCTTATGCCACCACGCCCAGCCAGAATCTATATTTCTTAACACCCAGTCCTGTTACTTTTTTTTTTGGTACCAGGGATCAAACTTGGGACCTTGCACTTGCAAGGCAGGCAGTAGAACCACTGGGCTAAATCCCTGGCCCTAGTCCTGTTACTTTTTGAGGAATAATTTCTATTAGTAATTTTACTTAGGGGCTCTCAGAACCAAACTAAAGAAGTAAAAGTGAGCCTACCTTCTAGAAGAGATGGGATCCATATGCTAAACTATTATAGAATCATCAAATGACTAATCCTTTTTCTTTTAATGAAGTATCTCTGCTTCTCTCCTGCCATGTATGTGAAGATTGCCCTACCTACTTCTTTGAATTTGAGTGTGGTATATAACTTGCTTTGACCAAGTAACACATGTCCCTTTGGGGAAAAATTTTTCATGCTAATTTCGCATTCTGAAGGGGGTAGCCTTAAGCCTCATTATGATACAGCGGGACCTCAAAATATCGAGATTCATCAGCTTTGGCACCTAAGTAAGAGAATGAGCACAGCCCTTTGCTAGGCTATTTTGGACAAGTGAGAACTAAACCTATTTTATGTGGTTGTAAATCACTAAGGTTTTAGGAGTTACCACACAGCATAACCCAGTCTAACCTGAGCTCTACAAAGTCCATTTGTATGGGCACTGCGTTTCTTTAAGAAACAGAACCCAGTATCTAGACTTCTGATTTCATCACTAAAAGCCGGAAGACAAAGCAAATTGTTGATTTCTCTCCCTAGCTTTCTCATCTTCTACCACCACCTAACTGAAGAAAATTACAGTACTCTCTCCTCAGTCTTTCACACACGAGTCCTCCATTATCCTGGCAGTTAGAGTGGGGGAGGAAAAGGAGGCGGCCCAGATTTCGTCTTCTCCAGTCCAGAGCCTGATCTCAGAACTGTCCCCACCCACTCACACTCGCACTTAACTTTGTCATAGGGCGACTTTTACCACTCCCAAGGTGTCACAGTAAAAAGGAGGTGCACTGGCGCCACTGCAGTGCAAGGCAAAGCAGCCAGGCTGCACTCTACCCTCATTGGTGCCCGGGCTTGGCTGAGCCCGGAGCAGCAGCATTCTCTAGGGAAAGAAGCCTTCTCAAGTGAGAACAAAAATCATTGTGAGGCGAACACCCATCCTGGGCACTATGTGAATTTGGGGTGAGTTCTCTTAGTACTCCAGCTCTGGTCAATTTCTAATTTCTGCCCGGCTGGTGCTATTGGGACTCCCAGTTTTCCTGGGCTTTCCCCAAGCCCATCCGAACTCGTCATCTTCCTACATTTGCAAAGGTCATAAATGGTGGGGGGTTGAGTGTAACGTAGGCTTCATCAACCAGACAGCAGCCCGGATGAAAGGTGCTCGGGGCGGCCGAGAGGCTGAGCCTGCGCAGTCCCGCTCCCGCCTTGTTAAGGGCGGCGGCAACGCGGGCTCGTCACACCGGCTTGCTCTCAAGAGGCGGGAAAGTTTTAGGTCGGGTCGCCACGT